TTTTCTTTTATTAACCCACCAAAAAAAAAAAAATCTATTTCATTAGAAAACTAACTAAAATGAATGTCCATACTTGTAACTTTCAGATAGTTGCTTGAAGTTTAAAGGAATTCAGAGGCACTTTCACAAAGCCCTTGAACAGCATGAAATCTTTCTATTTCATAATCAAAACATACATTGAATCTAACCAATAGCCTTGATTTTGCTGAAGAGTTTTGAGTTGGAAGTTGCAGACTAGAAAATTCCGCAAGCCTGCTCAGAGAAATTATAAAATTTTAAAACAGACAACTTGTTCAATTGTATGGATTCCCTTAATCTCGCACGCATACTTGAAGATATATCATAACACTAGCTGAGTGTTCTTGATAAAGAGTTGAAAAATTCAGTGTATTAGATCAGCTAATATACATATATATGTGTCTCTGTATATATATATATATACATATATATAAAAGTAAGGCTTCATAGAGAGATGCACAAGGCATTCCAGAGATAAGAAATCTGTTTTACAGCCAGAGTGTAAGGGATGTAAAAATACTGTAGCTAAGGCTCAGAAAAGAGCATTTAGAACCAAATTCTGAAGCATCATACGCACTGGAAAGTCCAACATAAGTTTGCGAATCATACGACTTCTTTCCTCTGCCTCCTAAATTCCGAAGGAGATGGTTCCTGACAATTCACTTCACTGACAGAGGCACCCTGAGCCATCTCCAGGTTCATTGCTGCAGCCTGCTTTGGCAAGATCTAGATCAGCAAGATCTCCAATTTTGACATTGCCTATGGGCTGAAAAAACAAGTAGAAGACAGCTTCAAGGGAAAACCTCTCCCAGAATGGGCTCCACAAATCAATAAAACTGAAGAAAGAGGCAAAACTTTTAATCTTATTTGTGCCTTTTCACAGATAAAATAGAACTCGTGCATTTTTTCACCTCCAAAATTTGCACCAAGAAATTATAATCCGTAACATGAAGTAAAATAAAATATAGAATAAAATATAAAATATAAAATAAAATAAACAACATACAATCTGACACAAACATAATCTCTCAGTTGTGATCCCCATAATATCATAACTTAACCTAGAATATGATAAAAGGGGAAAGTAGATACTCTCTTACTACTTAAATTGCACTTATTTTTGGGGTTTTTTTAAGACAGGCTGCATGAATTCAAATGTTTTTCATCTCAGAGACCATACCTTAGGTACTGTATAAATGTTGCTTCTTCTATAACAGAAATCATGTAATAATTTTAGTATTTCAGAAAGGTAGTAAGTAATGCATCATTAATTTAACAATGAACTACAGGAAGCTCTATGAGGTGTTACCGTTACGCAAGACACTTGATATCTTTGGATAGTTGTTCAATAATTAGCATTTAGACCCACTATCAATACTAAGGAGGAAATAAAATTCTAAGTGAACAAGAGACAGATCACAATTACAGATCCTAAAAGAGAGTAGGTGTGGCTTGGCTAACTGCAAGGCACCACATATTTCACTTTTCTAAGGACTTTGGCTTGGGAAAACCAAGAGAGAGAAGTCAGAGAGAGAGAAGTGGCTAAAGCAGATTACGTTCTTTAGAAAGAGCTTGACTTCAGTAGAAGCAAACTCCTCTACACAACCCCAAATTTTCAGAGGAAGTAATCTAAAAAACCAAAACAGCACGAAGCTAAAAGATGTTGGGAATTGCAGAGTTTTTTATAGGTCTCGTAGTATGTCTCCTGCTTTTGCAGTTCCTGAGGCTGCACTGGATGCGCACCCAGCTTCCTCCAGGACCAGCTCCCCTCCCCGTCATCGGAAATTTGTGGCTGCTGGGCTTCAAACTTCGTCGAGAAACTCTTGCTAAGGTATTTATTTGTCTTTATAGTTGAAATTCAGTCTTAATCCGTTTTAACTTAAATTTTACATTGCATAAAAACAGTTGAAAATTGGAATTATTTTTTAAACTAGATTAGCAGCCAATTCCAAAGAATCCAAGCACTCCTGCACGATAAAAAAATATTTCTGAGTTATAAGCATCATAATTACTTTACTCTTTGTTACTTACTTTATTTTTTTGGACACAGTAACATCAATAGAATGATATTCCATTTACAGTTTTATTCTTTGTGTGGGTATCTAGCCCTGTACACCACCTCTAGCAGAGCCTCCTTCTCCTGACAATGTCAGTGGAACATCTCCAGGCCACAAGCGGTCCAATCTCCGTTAGAATACCAAACACATACCCCTAAATTGACTCTTTTTTTCCTTATTTGTACAGTAAAAAAGATTTATTATCCATGGTAAAGAGATTATTACCAGAACAAAGCAAGAAAATTTCCTGCTATGCTTTTTTTAAAGCAAATTAAAACTATTTCTAAAAATAAGTAAAGAACAGGAAAGAATGCAACACCATTGCTTTCTTCAGAAGTTAGAGGCAAGAAAATATGATAATTTTGTTTCATTAATAAAATAAACAGAAAAGCTTTGGGATTTTGGCTGTATTCATTTGTTCTTTCATTCTGAGCTGACAGAGAAGACCTCTGTTTCTGGGAAATTTCCAGAGGTGGCCTTCTGAGAGGTGACCTTAATATCTATTTCCATTCAGTATGATTATCTTCTGTTCCCAAAGCACATTACAACAGAAAGTCAATTTTTTTTTTTCCTGAAACGTCTAATTTAATTTGATGTCTGCAAACGGGTTTAGTTACAGCTGCAGAAAACTCTTAAAATTAGCATGTAAGTGTGTGCCTTCCCTGGTTCACATTTCTAATTTACTGTTAACTCTTCAGTTAACCAACACCTACGGAAATATCTACACCCTGTGGCTGGGACAGATACCTGTGGTTGTACTGAACGGGTACAAAGCAGTAAAAGACGGCATCGTCACCCACTCCGAGGAAATCTCTGGGAGACCTCTCACCCCCTTCTACAGGGATATGATGGGCGAGAAAGGTACAAGATGTAACAGGACTGAAATACGAACAAGACGTAAGGAAGACACGTTCCTTGCGTACCCACGTGTAGCTGAGTTACCGCTGTGCGAGCACATAACCGGGCACACATAGTACAGAGGTTCCAGGCAGAGCTAGTATAGAAAGGGAAGGTAAACCCCAAAACTTCTCCTCTTGTAAAGCGTATTTCTGATTTTTTTCCTTCCCGAGAGATTCCAAAGAATATTTGCCTAGAGGAGGTGCCCTTCAGTTGTGTCACTGCTAAACCAGAAGTCTCTTCACATAGAAAACTTCCTCTGCAGAAAACAGAGTTGTTCTGTCCTTACCAACCCCACCAGCACAATGCAGCTCCCAGCAGCACAGTTAGCTCCAACATTGGGAGCCATATAAACCTAAATTAGAGACCGAAAGTCAATATCTGCAATCCCACTATCTTTTGTTGTTAGTGAAATACAAACTAATCCAAATTAAATTTTGCCTCCTGCAGTGAAAGGATCTCCCTTCCCAGCAATGAAATAAATGTTTCTTGGGCTCTCCAGGTATTTTTCTGACCAGCGGGCACACCTGGAAGCAACAGAGGCGCTTTGGCATGACAATTCTAAGAAGCCTGGCACTCAGTAAGAACAATTTGGAGCTTCAAATTCAAACAGAGGCCTGTCAGCTTGTGGACATCTTTGCAAACACAAAAGGTAAGTTCACTAGAAGAGTAACATTTAAAGCTCTTCCTGAAATACAGTAGATGAGGGGAATAAAAGTTTCACAGTACATTTTTACACGCAATACAGATATTTTTTATGTTAGTGGAACTTTTACTGGCTTAATTGCATTCTTCACAAAAAATGTTTTGTCTGCACCGTAGGCAGTATAAAATTGTTTTTGAAATGAGGGTAGCAAAAAAATGTGTATTATCACCACAGTCTTGGATACAGCTGGTAAGAATTCTTATATTCAAGGAGTATAGAAAAACCTTGTGTTCTCCATAAAATACACAATTGTGATGTGTTGCAAGTCATTCTAGGACAGCGGGCCTTTTAGGATTTGGCAGAGACAGAACCCTGACACAAGGAACGTATCATTCCGTTGTCCAACAGAACAACTTTTTAAGATTTGGATTACACGGAAACCAATAGACTTTTAGCAAGATGCCAAAATAGGGTAATTAAATGCAAATATTCCAAACAGCCAAATCCCTCAACCACACCATGTTCCATACTGTTGCGAAAATAGCAAGAAGTCGCCTCATGTCTCTCTCCAGCTCTCTTTGCATCAGACACAGAGCAGTCCATTTAATTTGTTTGGTTTTTAATTGCCAAACTTAAAATATCTGCCTCCAGATTTGAAAGTGTATGTTCTAATTAACTGCTTGTGTTTTCACACAACCCAGACCACAAGTCAGGGTTTGTCTTGTCAAAACCAATAATGACTGTATTTTACAAGAGTAAATAGCAGATGGAAAATAAAGATTTCCTGCACTTACATTTCATCCATTTAATTTGTATTAAACCGAAGTCTACTTGTGTGAAATTTGTCTAAAGTAGTCTGATCTTCCACACTTTGAACTACTATTACTTTTACTGTTAAAAAAAAATTTAAAATACCTCCTCTTCCTTCGTTTCTCTGACTATAGTTGGTTTAGAATTATTCACTGGTTCCTCTTCTATTCACAGGCAAACCCTTCGACCCCCACACTTCCATTGTCCACACTATCGCAAATATAATTTGTGCTGTTGTTTTCGGTCACCGCTTCTCCAGCGACGACGAATCTTTCAGCAAGCTTATCAAAGCTGTTTATTTTGTGATCTACTTTCAAGCTACTATCTGGGGCAGGGTAAGAATCTAATTAGCTTGTTCTTATTCCCAAAAGTGCATTTGTGCTTCACAAGTTAAAACAAAAATTCAAAGTCAGTGAAGCTTATTCCCAAAGACTTCCATACTGTTTCCCTGTGAGCCATTGTGCAGTGAAAGATACATACCTTGTACATATCATCACCCCCTTACATTATTTGTGTCAGTATATTGTGTGTCCTAAAATTTAACTTATAGATCACCATTTTCCACAGATTTTCAAAATCCAGAATGCATTTCAGGTGAGTAATCATTTTCAGAGTGCTGTGTACATAAGACTCTTAAAAAGAAAGCAACTTTCACAATTAAATTTTCATTTAGTCTTCAGAATACGTAAGTGCAATTAATAAGAACTAGGCCTTCAAAGTTCTGTTCTATTGAAAAGATAACTTGCTCCTCATGTATTTTATATTACCACCAAGATCTGAGTTATTTGAGCTTCCTGTAAGATACAGATGACAATTTCATCACATTATGAAGAAAATTTTTAAGTTCTTGAAAGACTAACTATCGCTTACATTGTTAAGATTTTGGTCATGCTAGCATTCTCTAACACTGTCAGCTTCTCCAATACTTCCATGCAGAGATGCCTTACAAAAAAAAAAAATATGAGTAAGAATTCAGGTAGACAAAATCTCCTGTTTGTGAGCCAGATTCGGCCCTCAACTACTCAATGATCTTCAAGGTCGCTTCTAGCTGAAATTATTCTATGATTCTACTCTGATTCATGCACTTCCAGAAGATCCTGTTGCGTTATTAGGTAGACATCAAAAAAGTAAAATATAATCACCCCCCTGCTCTCCTGTGACCCAATGCCACCCCTTACGTGATGCTGACATTTTGGTCAGCTGATGGGGAAGGAGAAGTGTGCACTGGCCAAGAAATTCCCAGCCACAGACCCTAAATAAAACAGGTCCTCAACACCAGTTTACTTAGAGGACAATGTAAACTTTTCATATTCCCTCTTAGAAATGCAGAATAATTTACATTGAGAGGGACCTTTCCATGTCAGCAAATCCAACTCCATGCTCAAAGGAGGCCTGACTAGGGCAGGTTGTTCATGGACTTGGCTGGTCAAGCCATCAAGTCTCCAAGGATGGAGATTTCACATAGACTCTGTAGGAAACCTATCCCCATATTTAATGTCTCCTGGTTAAAATAAAACTTTTTTTAAAAAAACACAATGTGGAACTAAAAAGAAAAAGAACCAACACCCAAAAATCTCCTCTCCAAACAAACAAAAAAATCCCACAAAAAAAGTAAATAAATAAATGTAATTTTCTTACATCTCATCAGAATCTCCCACATTGCACTTGTGCATTGCCTCCCATCCTACATAGGAGCCCGTGTGTTCCAGTGACTTCACAGTTATCAGGAAATCAGAGGGGAGTTCTCAATTCAGAAGACCTCACGTTTCTTCCTTATTGTTTCAAATCACAGATGTACGACGCCTTTCCACGGCTTATGCACCATCTCCCAGGACCTCATCAGAAAGTGTTTGCGTACAACGACTTCCTGCACAATTTAGTCAGGAAGGAGGTCCAGGCACATGAGAGACAGAACGCAAGTAACCCACCGGACCTCATCGACTTCTACCTAGCTCAAATAACAAAAGTACGTACCTGTGTATCACACTATCCCCTCCTTGGCCTCAGAGCTTACTACAAATACTTGCTGTTCAAGTAACTGCTATGGAATTTTATAGGCATACTTTATTTGCTGAGCACTGAAGATTTTTCTTTTGGTGGGCTGCTCACTTTTCATCAAACAACAACAAATCCTATGCAACTGATGAAATATGTGAAATTAATCCGCTTCTTATGGCTTTACCCTGCAGACCAAAGATGACCCTTCTTCTACGTTTAATAAAGAAAATATGGTTCAGACTGTGGTTGATCTTTTGCTGGGAGGGACAGAAACAACAAGCACCACCCTTCTCTGGGCACTGCTCTATATGGTCCAATACCCAGAAATACAAGGTGAGCAAAAGCTTTATCAGGGAGAACTGCATTCAACGTTGCACCTCAGCGATGTTCACGATGATGCAGCTATTAGCTCAATCACTCGCAACACATCACAATAACCCTTAACAATGAGTGCAAATGGCAGCACATCAACTGAGATTTAGAAAATTAAATTTTAGTAAATGAAAAAAACCTGTGCTTTCCCCACCAGTTCACCAGAGCAGCAACACTAGCAGAAATTAGTAGTCACCACTGTTTTATCTCAGTAGAAGGGGATGGCAAAGGCAGAGTAACAAGCTAAAGGCATTTCAGTCCTTTTTTTGAAACATAGAACTGCACTATCCTCATCACCAAGCGGAATGTGTCTTAAATGAGGGATCATCATGTCAACGCATTCCATAGCACCACAATTTCTTTCTCGTACAGAAATCTGCTGGAAAAAAAGCAGGGAAAAAATACTTGCATTTCTCTACAGAAAAGGTTCAAAGAGAGATAGAGGGTGTTCTGGAACCCTCGCATCTCATCAGCTACGACGACCGTAAAAAACTGCCATATACAAACGCTGTGATACACGAGGCTTTGCGGTACAGCAACGTTACGTCCGTCGGGGTCCCTCGGCAATGTGTGAGGAATACAACTTTGCTGGGTTTTCACATTAAAAAGGTACGGAGTATGCCTCCAGGTTTCTTCAGGCTTTGAGCCATTTGCCTTTTTTCGTCTGACCACAAACCTCTGCTCCCTCCTGCAGGGCACACTCGTGCTGCCAAACCTGCACTCCGTTGTGTACGACCCCGAGCACTGGGCAACCCCTTGGAAGTTCAACCCAAATCATTTCCTGGACTCGGATGGCAACTTTGTGACCAAAGAGGCGTTCTTACCTTTCTCAGCAGGTAACACACTGACATTTGAACGTTCCTGTTTGTTGTCTTGCAGGAAGACTAAAACCACCATTTCTAAGTTCTAAAATTTTTAAATGTACTTTTATAAAAACACAAAGATTTAAAGTCAGGTGTTCTACCATAAAAGTCACAAATATTGTCTTGTGTTTTATACTTTCCATACCTTCAAACAGAGGATGCGTATGGCTAAGAGACATAATGCTATCTCCTTAGTATATACGCAGTTCCTACTACAAGGGTATCTGAACTTCTTGGCATTGATTAAATTAAATCGTGATAATGCCCTCAAATCAGAAAATCAATTTATTCTCACCTTAAAAATGGGGAACCCAAAGACAAAAGTAATGTGATTTGTCACAATATACAGAGAAAACCTGTGATAAAGCAGGAAACCAGTCTCCCAAATCCTACAGTAACAGTCCAGCAACAGGTTCTCCTGTATCTCCAGAAAACTAGTCTTTTCAGCAGAATATTATTTGGCAACAGGAAAAAAAAAAAAATCTAACTTTTCAAAAGCATATTACAACGTACAACTTACCTAATACCCAACACAAAATGCAGCGATCAAAGACATGGAAAAGAAAAATAAACTCTGAGAGCTTCTCTAGACGACCGGTTTCTCCAATAAACTGATTACGAAGAGAGCAGCACAAACCAAGAAGCTGGCATTAGTTAGTGAAAATTAAAATAAAAAACAATAAACACACTCAGAAACAGCTGAGGTGTTTTTGTCACTGTGACAGATTATATTATCATAAATTCGCTGTAGATAAAATGCAAATAGCATACTAAGTAACATACAAAGCAGTCAGATTAAACATGGTAAATCCAGATTTTAAAACCATTTGCCCAAATTGCCTGGAAATCCTAAAATCGTATTTGCAAAACAGATACTTACCATCTTACCTCCTTGACTCACCAAAAGCCAACGAGTTCACATTTATTGAGACAACTAATTTAAGCTACCATTTCAACTCATCATAGGAAACTTTCTTTTTCAAGTTGCTTTGGTTGTTTTCTCTGACTATTTATACATCCTGATCACATTTTCTATTTTCAGTCTAGAACGTGTAGATATCCCACTGTGGGGACAATACACCAAAACGAGTCACTGAGTCTATACACCACTGCACGTGCCGACGTTTAATTCCCTTAGGTTATGTATCTCTTCCTGGACAGTGTTAGAGGGAGGACACTGGGCTACAAGGACCCAACCCAGCTTCTGAATTTCTGCTGAAGAAAACCTGATAACATCCTTCTACTTAGCTTCTGAACTGCTTCCTTCAATGCTCCCGTCCTCCCTCCTCAACCACCAAAGATAAGACTGAAGCACATGAAGCCTTTTAAAATCTGGCCTGAGAGGCAACTCACAGTTCTCACAGAAACAGAGGCAAAAAAGGAAAGGGAGAATCTCACAGATGCGCCAGGAAAAAACAAACAAAAGAACCCAATAACAAAACAGCTGAAGGGGATACACACTTTCTCAGTTAAATGTTTCCTCCCACCTCTAAACACATCTTCTGTCCTTACAAAAGGAAATAGGAGATAATTGTCTCACAGCAACAAAATTTTGAAGTTCTTTTTGAGAATTTAACTTCATGCAACTAACTCTTTTTTCCTTTCTCCTGCAGGGCACCGCGTATGTTTGGGGGAACAGATGGCACGAGTTGAACTGTTCATCATCTTTACCAACCTGCTTCGGGCATTCACATTCCAGCTCCCCAAGGGAGTAAAGGAAATCAATTTGGAGTACATCTTGGGTGCAATACTGCAGCCACACCCATATAAACTCCGTGCTATTCCACGCTAGCCTGCAACATAGTGCGGTTTGACACCACAGTACAAGGACTTCAATCAGTCATTAACTGCAGATTCTCCGAAAACACGTATCACTCTCTCAGTTGTAGTCAAATGTAGGTAGCTCGGTATAGAAAATATAGAGTGTTTTTATGTAGTTCTGATCTCATATAGTTGAGCTTTTTGAAATTAAAATAAATGTACTTGCTGAAGCTCATATGATCACAACTTAGGCGCATACAAGTACACAGTATGTTACCTCCCCCCAAAATACGTATGTTCACACTCACAGTAGCAATGGATTAGATGTAGAATTTTTAGAGAAATGATCTATATTCAGGCAGTTTCCTCTACATGAACTCAGTCAGGTATCACGCTCTGAAAACAACACAGCTCTTCTGATGCAGCAAGGGCATGTGAATAAAGAAAATTTTCTTCCGTTTGTTGCTACGGTTCTTTGTTCACAGGTCTGTTCATCCTTTTGCAGAAGGTAGCAGAGCATACACACTGAGTGTTGACTCCTCTTTCTTTCATACTCCCAAAAAGAATTACACATTGTGGTATAAACTTCACACACATATAAACAACTGCAGAATGGGGCCACTTACAATCATGGTCCATTTAGGAATCTTTAGACCTTTTTTCTTTGCTCCCTCCACACCTGATTCCTATTTAATCACAAATCTCTGATCCAGACACTTTTATGAACCTTTCTTCTTCTGTTTAGAAACTGTATGACATGATCCAATAATCTCCTATTTGAATGGAAAGAAACAGCCTTTCAGGAAATGAAGAAAATAAACAAAGATTCCAACATTTGTTAAAGCAGCCACAGGAAATATTTATTACTCACAGTATTTTCTTCTGTTGTTTCATCATTCCACAACAGATGTGGAAAGTTCTCACTGTATAAAATTCAGCTGCAAGCATCCTAGATGCTTTGAATTGTCAGAATTCAACAGGAGCAAGCATAAATTATGCTAGAATGTTAGCAGAAGTAGAATATCCCATATTTCTCAAACATAAACCTAATGGAAGACTTGATTCTCCTCGCAAATATTTCCAGTTGCTCCCAGGGCTCTGACACACGTAAAGTTTGCTATTAGAGAACAAAGGCAGGCTTCACATCACTGACAGTTACCACCTTTTTAATAAAAGACATAAAACTTGCAACATTACTCCATTTTTATTGAGGAAAATATAACATGTAAAAAGTCCTCCTTGAATAAGAAATACTTTCAAACATAAATTAGTAAAAATCTCTTGAACTTTGCATTTCTTACAGCGAGGGCAGATGTTGCATAAAACACTTTTACAGATTGGCAAAAGCCATCTGATGTGATAGTTCATAGACAAAAGTTTTCAAGTCTTCTCCCTTTTCTCTGTGGTGTTCATTAGAAGAGAAACTCGCCAAAAAGCTTTCTTTTCAACCCACCATTTGCACGGTTCAACAGAAGCGCTCAGCAGCGTGACTGGCAGTGTAGGGTATAAGTTTAGCCCTTCTCTGCTCCAGTGTATTTCAATCACTCCTGAGGTATGTCTTACCTGAAAAAAGACTCCAGTTTCTTTCCTCTGTGTTTACCCCTTTGGTCTCCTGAAGTTATTCTGTAAGCTTGATTTTTTTTTTCCCCCAAAAAATATTATTTAATTACGCACATATGTTTTCTGGTTTTCTTCTGAACCTGTAGCTTGGGTTCAAGCATGCATTTAATCTTCACCTGTATTTCTGAAGAACTGAGGTACATCATGAAGACTTACTGTATGATGCTTGTTTAAAAAACACAGGAAGAACAAATGTTCAGAGTTTACATGATTAAGGAGGTATTTTTACAAAGAAGTTCTTGTAGGCCTGACAGTTGGTACCATTGAAAAACAGCTGGGATAAAAGTATCTTCTTGTTATTTAATTTAAAATTGAAAACAGTAAAAGGTGAGGCAATCCTTGGCTCTCTGATCTTTCTTGAAATGATGGTGTGAGAATTCCAGATTACCTTTTCATCACAGTTGTAAATGAAATCTGGAAGAAAATGAACAATGCAGAGAAAAAAAAATTAAATAAAGCTATTTCCTGAGATAACTTTTTTTGTTGAGAGAAGAAATTCATGAAGAATTAAATCAGAGAAAAGTAAGACTCAGAAATGAATGCCAAAATGCAAACTTTTCCTGTGAAATGTCTTAAACTAAAATTCATCAATCAGATCACTTCAATAATTAGAAATCACACAGATAAACTTTTAGGAAAATGCACTGACTCTCAGCTCTGCTGTGCTGCACCCCTTAGAAACCACCAGCCCAACTTGTCAGTCCAGCACACTGCCTTCAACCTTCAGATGTTAAACCCCAGAAAGCTCCGAATAATTTGAAGCCCAGTCTTTTAGAAAAGGCCATGCTGTTGAAAACAGTTTCTGACATTTATTTCTGCCACTGATAAGAAAAACATAACTGCCATTTCCAAATTCTTCCAGTTTTCAAGTCCTGAAAAATCAAAACTGTTTATTCCCTTGATGTCAGAGAGGAGCTTTTGCCTAAGTCAAACCATTTTCATAGAATAACAGAAGAAACCGATATTTAAATATATTCCTTCTGTAATAATGGCCTTGCAATGTTTCCCTTCCAAAACAGCAGCAATAAAGGATTTCATTGCATTCTTCAGCTCCTAAATATTAAAATAACAAGCATTGTGAGGAAAGTACATACAGGTCTTGGCCCATTTTTGTGAAGCGCACAAAAATCCATGCTGCTTGTGTGGTTTTAAGGACAAAATTTAATCATTGGTCAACATGACCTAGATTAAGGAAATTAGTAAGCCAGTTCCAAAGCTGGGTGAAGAATTTGTCCTTAGCTTTTTGTTTTGTTTTCATTAAAACCTCAAAGGGAAAGA